AAGATTCGTGATTACTTCCGGTTTAAGCATTAGCAGGGTAGAACTCACTTCCTCTCCATAGAGCTACTGCAGACGCGCTGTCAGAGTGTTTAGTAGTGAACTGTAACGCTCAAACTCTGAGCTACAACAGCTGTATTTTAGTGTTCCTGCTCGGCTGTGACAGTGAGAGTAAGAAGTGGACGGAAGCCCTGATTTAACTGTAAACAGAGCAAAAATGCTGTATGTTGTTTTTACTGCAGTTCTGCTGCAGCTGCTTCACATCAAGCAGCCTGTGTCTTTGTACAACACGCCAGCGATTCTGTAATCTTCTGTTTTCAAAAGAAGAACTTTTATATGTAGCATGAATGTTATAGACTCTGTTTATATTAAGCTGGCTATACTGGCTAGAAGCTACTGCTAACCAAACTAGCCCAGCTAACATGAAGCAGCTTTTTCAGCTAGGAGTCGCGTTTTTGACTGAGCAGTGAAAGGTGGATGTTTTCTGAAGTGCTGCTTCAAAATTTGCCATGAAACTATAAGAATAATGCTGTTTGGCAGATCGCTAACACAGCCAGCGTTAGAGCGAACTTAGCTTTAAAGTTTGATGCTCATATGAAGCTGGTGCTCCTCAAACTGCTAATGGTAGGCTAACGCTAGCTAATTAGTGACTGTAGCCTGCTAGCCTACCGTAAGCTAATGAAGTTTAAACGATGTCTATCAAACAGACTTTACATGTAAAAGTGTTTGTTTGTGTTTATGTCAGAAGTCTCTGCCATCATGTAGCTAAATGTGTCACAGAACCTGCTCCACGTTAGCCGGCTGGAGGCAGCAGCTAATGAAAGCTAACTAGCTTCCTTATTTTGGGAACACAGTTACAGTTAGAAATGGCTTCTAGCGTTGCTAGCTAACCTAGCTACAGCTAAACAACGTCTACCAAATTCATACTACACAGAAGAACTTTAATTTCTTTTGAAAACAAAAATATTACAGAAATCGCTGGCATGTTGTTCAACTACAGAGACACGGCTTGATGTGAGCAGCTGCAGCAGCAGTAAGCAGGGCTGCACCACACACAGCATTTCAGCTGTGTTTAAAGTTAAATCAGTGCTTCCATTCACTTCCTTTTGTCATGATAGTGCACAAAAACTAACATATGTCGCTCAGTAGCTCAGTTGTAGCTCAGTATATGAGCATTATAGTTCACTGCTAAAGCTTAATCCGGACGTAATCGCGACTCTTTGTGAAAAGGGCCCATGGCCATTAGATCTTTACATTTTGACCATTCATTGCTTCTTAAATTCCTCTTACTTAATCACTAATTACTGCTTTTGTGTTGTCACTTTACTTGGAGGGACACAAAAGCAGTAATTAGTGATTAAGTAAGAGGAATTTAAGAAGCAATGAATGGTTGATTAAGTGGAATTTAAGAAGTAATTAATGGTCAAAATGTAAAGATCTAATGGCCATTAATCATCAAAGTTACGTAAAAAAAAAAACACCTTTTTCTTGCCTTTTATAAGGTTTGAACTGCTCTGCGTCTGATTCATAATAAGTTTGTACGATGTGGAAACAAGTGGAGATTTGAGCATAAATGATAAATCAGCTTCAGTGCATGAAACCAGCCGACCAGCACCTCATTTACATATCATTTACATGACGCACACACTAATTCATGCAGATGTTTCAGTAGCCAGCCAATAAAACGGCAGTGTTTGGCATGAAAGCTAATGGCCGTGCTCGTGGGTGGAGCTTGATGTCCACCAGTGAGTGCACTCCTCCCCTGCTGACCAAACTTAATAGTATTAAAATGAAAACAACTGGAAAAAATAAAATGTGAAATAAAACTAAATACTCAGTGTTGTTAACATAGTAGAGTGATTGTTTAGTGTAATTAATTCCCTAAAATAAACGCTGTATTATTGCAGTGTATGACCGAAGCTGTGTTTGTGAGTCAGTAGTATGAAACAAAAGCACAGTGTAATGTGTCTTTAAATGGAACATGAAATAGTTTCAGCACTTGTTTATATCAATGTGCATGTAAATTAAGTACATCCACTTCTGTATTGGACTGTCATGCACACAAATTAGTATTATTGATATTTTCTATTGTTTTTATTTTTGCAATTACAGATTATGTTGACAATAGTTTTGGTTAATTAGCCACATATCCAGCATTTATGCCCAAATTTACATGCACTCCTACCAGATATGAGTACAGATATGCCAAGATGAACGTGATGAATAACAAAACTGTCAGTGAATTTGTGTGCATCATCAGATGTGACCATAAGCGTCTTTAATGAACCAAAGTGAGAAAAGCGAAGCAACTGAATATATGGAGGTGATGGAAAGTTAATTAACAGATAATTAGCTGGATTAACACATAAGTGCTAGTAAGTCACGTTACTTCTTTATATGAAGAAAAATACTTATTAGTTAATTAACGATGTAATAAGCAGCAATTAGCACACAGATAATGAGTAAGTAAGACACAAACTAACGACAAACTAACTTATCAACTAACAGTGTACTTAATTACTAATTGATAAGTGCTTAATCAATTACTAAGTAATAGCTAATGCTTAATGAAGAGTTAACTAATAACTAAATAATGGGAAACTAATAGTTGATTATTATATATTTAATGATTGATTAGTGACCCTTAATGTAAAGTGTTACCCAGCTGATCATTCAAACTCAGCTGAAATGAAGAGTCTTAGAAATGAGCTGAAGTGGAGACTTTATGCAGCATTTTTACTGACTGAGACCCAAACAGTAATAATTTACACATTTCTGTATTTTGTGTTGCAGGAGTTGTTGCTCAGGATGGGTGGGGTATGAATTACAGGGAGAAATCTATCTGTGCTCTAAAGGGGTCTACAGTGACTATGAGCTGCACTTATACATATCCAAGTGGTCACTCAGTCCAGAAAGCTTTCTGGACAAAAGAGTGGCCAACAAACGGTGTAGAGCCTCCTGATCTGTTAGATGATCCAGAGTACAGAGACAGAGTTCAGTACCTTGAAGATAAAAAATCCTGCACTCTCAGACTGAGTAATGTGAGAGAAAAAGACAAAAGTAAATACTACTTCAGATTTATAACAGACCAACCTAGAGGAAAGTATCAAGGTGCAGACGGAGTTGATCTTTCAGTCACAGGTAAGATCCATCAGCAGAAATACACTGTACTTCACTCATTGGTTTTCATCAGTAGTGTTGAATTTAATCAGAAAGTCCACTTTCTTCAAATTCTTGCTTACAAAGGTTCTGATAAATAAATTCATAAATAAATAAATAAATAGCATAACATAACATGAAATAACATGCTTAAGTATTAGTGATAAGCAAATAATAAAATAATATGAGACACATCAATGTGTTGTCACTGTTGAAAAAAGACCTTATATCCCCAAAAAGGCAACATAACAGGAGAGGAAAATCATTCTTTACTTTTAATGGAAGTTAAAGGAGAAATTTTTAATCCCAAGGAATTTTGGACCATTTCTATTGGTTCTTTCATCGTGAAGTTTTGACACAAAAGGCAGTTGGCTTTTTCAAACATTAAAAAAATAAATAAAAAACAACCAAAATGAATATATGAGGTTTTGTTGACAGTGACGAAATATGTGGATAAACTGTATAATTTTAGCGTACTCATTTAATCTACTGAGTATTTTACAACTATATGGCCAATAATTAAACAAACGTGATTAAAAGTACAATTCATTTAAAATCAATGAGAATAAATGTTCTTAATGGGCATTTCATGGTTCTGAGCTGTCAGAGATGAACACACTCTGGTGAATCGTTCTTGTTGAGATTTGGGTTTATTTTATTTATCCTATGAGCTGAATTTTCTGGGGAGGTTAATTCAGTGTTTGGTTTCATAGTCACATTTAACATTTTCAGATTTGACCAGACTATAAACAGATGAGACTTGAAATGGAAAGTTTTTACACTCAGTGTTTGAACTTTGCAGTCAAAAATGCACATTCTCAATAGTGAACTCTCTCAGTGGCTTATTGTGGTTATGTAAACTGATATTTGTATCAAATGTGTCAACAGTTTTCATTTAAAATAGAAATCACAGGCTTTCTCAGTACATTAGGAAAAAGGAATTCATGGGTGCTGTGTAGCAGCTTTGTTTTGAAAGTCGTGGATTTGAATCTAACACGATCTAAAATACTTAAATATGCTAATGAGAGGATTACAGCAGGGTGACAAAAACTTGCTACAGAACATGCCTTCACTAATGTAGCGTACACTACTTTAAAATGTTTGGAATTAATGTTTAAAATGTAAGCTGTTAGTTGAAATAGATAAATGATATTTTAAATATGAATATAAATGTCAAATTAATATTCCACATCTGTCTAATAAACTCTGAGTTAACCTGTGTTGTGTTTGGAGCTTTTAGCTTAAGCTACTTTTAATTCATATCCTTGTTAGCGCTAGATGAACTTTAGCTTAGCAAGAAACCTAAACCACTAGCAATTCTGGCTCACTGACGCTGCACTGAGGTAAATTTAGAGAATAAAGACTCAAATCTGAGTGAGTGAAGTCGAGAGACTGAAAGACTCAGTATTACTGATTATTAAAGTTACAGTTAGAGCTTATTTTGGTTTCTGCTCAGTCTCATCTGTTAAGTCTGTAACAGAGACAGACTGCAGGGTAATGTGGGGAAAGACGGGCTTTACAAATGAGTCAGTGCAGTTGCATTCGTAATGAGTGCAAACATCAATGAACATTTTTGAAACTGTTCACTTTCTGACCCCTGTAGTCTCTGTACTGCTTAGAACTGGAGGACTAGAATTCATAAAGTGCTGATGTAGTGTTGGTCACTCTCACTCAAATCAATATGTATTTCTGAATTATGTCCACTGGTCAAGTCTGAGCTGATGCTACGATACGTAAGATTAATATCAATTCTACTTTAAATAGAAATATTAAATGCACCATTAACACACTCACTCAGCTAGTGTGAGTCTCCACAGTGTGAGTTTGTTTTCTCTGGTTCTCAGATCTCCAGGTGGAGGTTCCTGAGAGAGTGATAGAGGGAGATAAAGTCACTCTCACATGTAAAACCACCTGCAGTCTGACAGTCAGACCAACATTCACCTGGGACAGAGATGGACATGGTTTATCCTCCAGTACTGACCAACTCCACCTGCAGCCGGTCAGCAGGGAGGATGCAGGCAGGTATCACTGTGCTGTACTGGGTCTGAACTCTCCTGAGGTCACTCTGAATGTCAGATGTAAGTACAGATTCATTCATTCAGTTACAAAGAATGATTCAAAACATCAAGAAATGTTTGGGAATGTTTTAATGTTTTATTCTGAGTCTTTGGTAAAATTAATTGTAAAGCTGTAACACCAGTGATCTTCATATGCTGATGTTAATGATGTGCATCTGCTATTAAACATAAAGTACTGCTACAGGACATTTATTGTTTATTTATTCAAACAGAAAAGCTCTATCATAAAGTTTAATGTGTCTGTCCACCTCTAGATGGCCCAAAGAGTGTCTCAGTGTCCATCAGTCCCTCTGGTGAAATAGTGGAGGGCAGTTCAGTGAATCTGACCTGCAGCAGTGATGCAAACCCACCTGAGCAGAACTACATCTGGTTTAAGAAGCTGGATAAAGAAGCTCTGCAGAACTCAACAAGTCAGATCTACAGCATCTCAAACATCAGCTCTGCAGATAGTGGGGAATATCAGTGCATGGCAACTAATAAACATGGGTCTCAATACTCAGAGTACAAGTCATTAACAGTTTTATGTAAGGTCATTTTTTGCTTGACTTGAATTTTTAAAAATGAAATTATCTGACATCATCTCTGTATTTAAAGATGTTCTATTGCCTTCTTCTTTTCTAGATGCTCCAAAGAAATTCTGGGTGTCCATCAGTGAAACAGCAGAGGGCAGTTCAGTGACTCTGACCTGCAGCAGTGATGCAAACCCACCTGTGCAGAGCTACACCTGGTTTAAAGAAGGTGGAAGCTCACCTGTAGGATCTGGACACAGTTACAGGGCTCTACAGAGTGGATCCTACTACTGTGTGGCTCAGAATGAACACGGATCTCAGAAATCAGCTGCAGTGACTGTCACTGTAAAAAGGTATTATGCTGGAAAATACAGCCTGAATAATCACTTAGTACACTGATAAAAAATAGCATAATTTATACTTTTTACATTCATCCTCACACAGGAGTTGGGAACGCAGTTCTATATGCAGTTATTGGAGTCATAATTGGATGTGGATGTTTATTTGTTATCATTGCTATTTTATGTGATAAGGTAAGCAAACATTAATGCAGATTATTTTTACTTACTGATTTTTTTATCACTGTACTGATTTTTTGTATGTAACAGTAAAAATTATTTATGTAGTTTTTTTCTGATTATTTTCACTACCAATAATTTTGTGGTGACCTGCTGCTGGTCGGCCTGCTCACTCTTCTGATTTTAGCAGCGGTTCTCCACTGCTGCTGTGTTCAATAAAAGAGCATTCACTTAAAGGGCAATGTTTCCCTAGTCCTCTTTTTCACCAACACAACAATATTTTTACTTTAATTGCTGGTACTTTTCAGGAGAAGAGGCAGTTCAGCTGATGATGCAAACCAAAGACAGGCAAGTCAATCATAATATCAAAAATTGTTTCATGCACTATGTGGTTTACTGACATTTTAACCTTTCTTTTATGAAGTCTATATTCACTTTGATCATTAATAAAACTCAGTAACGCTCATCTCTAGTTAGGAGTGGTGAGAGTAGTGTGAAAATGGTTGGTACATATCATAACCTCAATATGTGTGAATGCAAATGTAACAGAGCTACAGATTTTATGTTAATCAAATTTATTACAGCACCTGCTATCATATCTTGAGATCATGAGATGTTTTCCTAATGTCTAAATGTGTTATTATTTCTCTCTACAGGAAAATCTCTACAGTGATGTGGCAGTGAGATCTACAACCAGAACACCTGATCCAGATCCGTCCAATCAGGATGATGTTTATTATTCCAACGTACCTCGGAAAGTCAGAAACCCCAGGAATGCTGAGAGCTCTGCAGTGACAGCTTCTGCCTGTGGGACTGAAGGGGATGTTCAATATGCTACTGTCAGATTTAATCACACTGGTGCTACCGACAGGTGAGAGCAACCAAACTTACCAAGCTAATTTAGTCCTTTCTAACAGAGCTTCACACCAAACTGGAATTAAATTTAAGAACAACACTTTAAGTAAAGGTGCTGTTAAAACTAATTTACTGCTCATTGTTTATATTAATGAAGTGTTCATTAAGCATTAGTTACTACTTAATAAATGATTAAGTACTTAGTAATAAGTAACTGATTACACTGTTAACTGACAGTTTAGTTTGTCATTATTTAATAGCCTAATTACTCATTAACTGCTGATTACTACAATGTTAATGAACTGATAAGTGTGTTTACTCATTTAAAGAATTAATAGCACTAATAAGTCCCAAGTATCCCAGATGGTTGCTAGGGTGTTGCTAAGTGGTTACTATAGTATCCCAAGTGGTTGCTAAGTTGTTGCCAGGTGGTTGCCATGGTCTCCAGGCTGGTTGCTAGGGTGTTGCTGGGCATTTGCCATGGTATCTCAGGTAAAGTGTTACTGTAGGTCACACTGTTTGTGCTGTTAATGCAGGTCTGCTACTTCCACACTTGAGGACACCCTCTTTGATCTACAGCAGTGTGAAATAACCAACATTCACAGATCTGTTCAGGACCACCGTTATGACCCATGGACAGAATCTTCATCTGCATCTATTGGAATCTCACTGGAAAGAGAAACAAATTAAACATACAGTTTTGAGTTCACCCATTCTTCCCTTTATCTATGACCATTTTGTGAATTGGTCCTTCCGACAGCGACTGGACGATCACTGGACTAAATTTCACCATTGCAGTAATTCAGAGACGACCATTGGAAATACCATAAACACTGAACACCAACAAGACCGAACAACATCTTGCATATAAAACTCAAAATAAGCTCAAACTCAAGCAATATGGGACGACATTAATCACTTTCCCATTCATATTTATTTTAACAATAACAATACTTGTCTCTACAGCACACCATGGGTAAGAGCACCACCTCCTGGAGAATATGGAGCCCAACTGTAAAGGCTCACTCACAATGACATTGACATCATTTCTGTGGAGACAACTTTAAGACAAAATCTATGACTGTTAGGCCTGCAATGAATGCCTTAAATGGCCAAGACCCACCTGCGGGACCAAAGCTTTATTACACACTTCCATAAGTTAAGAATAGTTCAACTAGTTTGCACTGAAGTACCTGTACTTACTGAATAATACGCTTTAGTACATAATAAGCCTGGGGTTTTAAGGGGTTAGTCTGCAATTATGCCATCATCTCGGCTCAAAAATGCCTTTTGGTGAGCCATTAATACTGTGGGTCTGACAGACTTTGTGCTCATTACTGTTCACTGGAAACAGTATTTGATAGCTAACTCATTACAAGTTGCTCTTCAGTGTTTACCTCAGGAGAGACACTTCAGTACCCTGAGTTATAATATATCTTTCTATTAAGGAGACCAGTGTGGCTCTAAACAGGCCTTCTAGCTTTTTAGCTTCTTATTATGTTTTCATTTTATACTTTTACATCCAGTTTAGCTTGAAAGGTTTGTTTTCGAAACTGCTTGTGCTTTTGTGTATAATATTATAGCTTAAGTTTAAAGCCTCTTATTCTCTGTGCTTAAATAAAAATGGGCTCTTGCCTCGTCGTGTTTGACTTCTCTGGGTGTGTCAACATGAAGTTTATATTTTGCACGGCTGTTTACTGTTAATGTATGTCTGCTCTTTGTTTTGGTCTCATTATCGGGGTTTACACTCCTCAGTTTAGTTAGAGATTCATGGCTGTTGGGAAAAGACCAGCATTAGGTGTTTATGTTGTAGTGGAACTGTAAAAAGAGTTTAATATATACCACCATTGCTGTCAAAACCTGACACAGACACATGGAAGGATTAAAGAGTTACATGTCCTCATCTCTATGACAACGATAAAACCTCGAGTCACTCGAAACAGCACAGTGTGGGTTGTGGGGGCCACGGTGACTTTGCTAGTGTAGGAAGTTGCTTTATCAGACTTCCTCTTTTTTTGTGACACTGCACTCTTTCTCACATGACCCCCCGCCTCTCTCTCTCTCTCTCTGTCTCTGCACACATCCTCTGTGCATTCATTTATTACTCTTGCTTTCTGTATTATCCATGCATGATACAATAGACAGCTCACAGACATGCACCTGTAACAAGAATGAACAGTAGTCTGACTTAAGTGGTCCTATCTAAACATATACACTGGCTCTGACAGATGCGTTAGCTAGCTATAAAACGGACGTTCCAATTAGAAAATTATATTTATTAGTCTAGTTGTTAATAAAATTTATATGAGAGTGTATTCAACATTTTCAGGTTTAGCTCAGCCTATTTAATAACTATACATGAAAAGGTTTATCTGCTGATGAAGTGCTGCATCATTCTGCAAGGAAAGACTGATGCAACAAAAAGCAGAAGAATGATGCTAAATGTGTGTGAATGTTCAGAATGTGAGAACAAACAGGTAGTCAGGCAGTGTAAAACCTCAAAGCTGCTGCTTGTTTTCTCGTTTACTGATCTGACAGTTAATGGTGATAAGACATCAGCCAGGTAAGAAATGCTTCATTATTTTTATGAATATAGTAAATTTCTAATATATACGTGTACATGATTTCTGATGCCCCGACATCTGAACCAAGAGGAACTCCAGAAGATCACATGTAACTACAGCAAGCCTGTTTTATTTCACTATGAACAAAATATCATGGTGAAAATGTGATACAATAAGCTTTTAGACTCTGAAACTCTGGATATGAACATCTACAAAACTTCCTTAGATTCTTTTAAACACAAAAGCCCACATACAGACAGAGGCAACATGACAAGGCCAGAGTCAACACAGAGTGATAAATTTGATGCTTGTTTTGAAACATAAACCGAAAAATATATATTTCCTGTTGTGTTTGTAGACTCTGCTATGATGATGTCACTGAGAATGACTCCCCCCACTTCTCTGGTCCTTCTACTCCTAATTTATGGTGAGTCAGTGTAGTTATATAATGAGACATTGTTGTACAATATTATTAAACAGAATTATAATAAATGCTATGTGTGAACAGTGAGCTCTGTGCAGTGTGTTAGTTTCTGCAATCCCCCCGAACCCACCCTAAAAACCATACTCTACTGTAAGATCTGTGGAGCTTCTCACTTTGTGCTTTTGTCTCTAAATGAGCTCATTTTATTGCAGCTGATCATTCAAACTCAGCTGAAATGAACAGTCTTAGAAATGAGCTGAAGTGGAGACTTTATGCAGCATTTTTACTGACTGAGACCCAAACAGTAATAATTTACACATTTCTGTACTTTGTTTTGCAGGAGTTGTTGCCCTAAATTGGTGGGGTGTGAATTACAACTCTGAATCTCTCTGTGCTCTAAAGGGGTCTGCAGTGACCATGGGCTGTACTTATACATATCCAAGAGGTCACTCAGTCCAAAAAGCTTTCTGGACCAAATACTTGACTTCAGGTTCGGAACCTCCTGATCTGTTAGTTGATCCAGCGTACAGAGGCAGAGTTCAGTATCTTGGAGATAAACAACAAAACTGCACTCTCAGACTGAGTGATGTGAGAGAAAAGGACCGGAGAAAATACTACTTCAGATTTATAACAGACCAACCTGGAGGACGTTGGCAAGATATAAATGGAGTTGATCTTTCAGTCACAGGTAAGATCCATCAGCAGAAATAAGACACTGTACTTCATTCACTGGTGTTCAGGATTCACAAAGCAGTTCTGCAATATAATCACATCAGTCCTTCATAGAACACCTGAGAAACTCACTACGTAGAAATGGAGAACCAGAATCCACAAAGCATTTTGGAGTAAAAGTGATGACCTACAATATGATTCTCTGACTGAGGTCGCAACAAAAAAGACTTGATCTGATCATCAATCAGCACTTCAACTCAGAGATGCTTGTGAGAAGTGTAAACACCTTGGAAGTGGAATTAATGTAGAGGTCTAAACTGCATCATGTTCATGTAATGTGTCCAATGCCTCCTGATGGCTTATAAAAGTCTGATTTTAGGTGTAGATGTTTATATTGATGGTCATAATGTATTCATTCAGCTAGTGTGAGTCTCCACAGTGTGAGTCTGTTTTCTCTGGTTCTCAGATCTCCAGGTGGAGGTTCCTGAGAGAGTGATAGAGGGAGATAAAGTCACTCTCACATGTAAAACCACCTGCAGTCTGACAGTCAGACCAACATTCACCTGGTACAGAAATCGATATCGTTTATCCTCCAGTACTGACCAACTCCACCTGCAGTCGGTCAGCAGGGAGGATGCAGGCAGGTATCACTGTGCTGTACTGGGTCTGAACCTTCACTCTCCTGAGGTCACTCTGAACGTCAGATGTAAGTACAGGTTTGTTTGGTAAGAAATAGATAAAAAGAAGTCATAATTACCTGGAACTGAATCTGATTCTGGATCAGCTCTACAACTCAGAGAGTGGAATCAGTCTAAACTGAATCACAGTAAAATCATGACTTTTATGTGAGAAGATGAATATCAGTAAAATGTTAACTGGTTTTATTGAACTGTTAAAACACAACAGTGAAGCATTAAGTGATTGAGTGCCGAGATCCAATTTGAGCTGCATGAAAGCTAAAAGTTTATTAAAAGCCATTTGAAAATCTAATACACTCACTCAGCTAGTGTGAGTCTCCACAGTGTGAGTTTGGTTTCTCTGGTTCTCAGATCTCCAGGTGGAGGTTCCTGAGAGAGTGATAGAGGGAGATAAAGTCACTCTCACATGCAAAACCAGCTTCAGTTTGACAGTCAGACCAACATTCACCTGGTACAGAAATGGACATCGTTTATCCTCCAGTACTGACCAACTCCGTCTGCAGTCGGTCAGCAGGGAGGATGCAGGCAGGTATCACTGTGCTGTACTGGGTGAGAACCTTCACTCTCCTGAGGTCACTCTTAAAGTCAGATGTAAGTACAGATTAATTTGTTCATTCCCATTAAAGCACAAATGTAAGCAGTTACCATTAATACTGAGTGGGTAAAATAAATGAGATTGACCAAATGCTCCAATAAAACCAAATTATTCAATTATTTATTTTTTACTTCAGCCATGCCTGAAATGAGAGTACTGAATAAGAACAGTAATATTAATATTATATTTCTTTCTATTGAATTTTATGTTTGTTTTAATTTAAACTGAAACCAGTGTCAATTATTATTGTATAATCTTGTATATACAGGGTTTGTGAACCCTTTGGTATTTTCTATATTTCTGCATAATAAACAGAACCAAACTAAACAAAGGAGACAAAAATATTAGACTTTGTCATTTATTTAGTGAGGAAAATGATCCAATATTACAGATCTGTGAGTGGCAGAAGTATGTGAATCTTTGCTGTCAGTATCTGGTGTGACCCCCTTGTGAATTTTAGCTCTCCATACAAAACAGCTTCAACTCTGTTATGTTGGTCGGTTTCCTCCCATGAACTGCTGCTTCAGGTCCACAACATTTCTATAGGAATAAGGTCAGGACTTGGCCATTCCAAAACATTACAATAAAACAACAACTTTATTCTTCTTTAACAATTCTTTTGTAGAACAACTTGTGTGCTTAGGGTCATTGTCTTTCTGCCTGACCCATGTTCTCTTCAGTTTCAGCTCACAGGCAGATGTCCTGACATTTTCCTTTAGAATGGCCTGAATGCAGTGAAACAGGCCCAAACTATGATACTACCACCACCATGTTTCATAGATGGGATAAGTTTTTATGCTGGAATGCAGTGTTTTCCTTTCTCCAAACATAATGCTTCTCATTTAAACTAAAAACATTTATTTTGATCTCATCTGTCCACAAAACGTTGTTCCAATAGCCTTCTGGCTTGTCCATGTGAACAGTCGCAAACTGCAGATGGGCAGCAATGTTCTTTTTGGAGAGCTGTGACTTTCTCCGTGCAACCCTGCAATGCATACTATTGTTGTTCAGTGTACTCCTGATGGTGGACTCCATTTGTATACAATCTGTCTGACTGTGATTGGTGGAGTTTTAGAGATTGTTTTTTAATCTTTTCCAGCCTAACGAACATCAACAACTCTTCTTCTGAGGTTCCCAGGAATCTCCTTTGTTCGTGCGATGATACACTTCCACAAACATGTCCTGTGAAGATCAGACTGTGATAGATCCCTGTTGTTCGAATAAAATAGGGAGATCACTCACACCTGATTGCCATCCCATTGACTGAAAACAGCTGACTCTAATTTCACCTTCAAATCATCTGCTAATCCTAAAGATTCACATCCTTTTGCGATTCAGAGATATGTGATATTGAACTATTTTCCTGAGTAAATAAATGACCAAGTGTAATATATTTGTCTAATTTGTTCAATTTGGTTCTCTTTTATCTACTTTTAGAAAAAATCTGATGAATTTTAGGTCACATTTATGCAGAAATACAAAAAATTTTAAAGGGTTCATAAACTTTCAAGCACCACTGTATATTGTAATGGAGTCTGTATTTATTTCTTCATTCTCAAATGAAGACAATGAAGTTAATGGCTGTTATCTGCACCAAAACATGATGTCCTTCTCTACGATGTTTAAGGTTTGCTTATTTAAAAACACCTTCATAAACTCTAATTTTATGTAACATGTCATTCTACCTTTAGATGGTCCAAAGAACATCTCAGTCTCCATCAGTCCCTCTGGTGAAATAGTGGAGGGCAGTTCAGTGACTCTGACCTGCAGCAGTGATGCAAACCCACCTGTGCAGAACTACACCTGGTTTAAAGGAACATCATTTGTAGCAAAAGGAGAGACTTACACAATGAACAAGATCAGCTCTGTGGACAGTGGAGAATACAAGTGCAGATCCAGTAATGAACATGGAGAGAAACTCTCTGAAGCTCTAACTCTGAATGTTTTACGTAAGTATAATTTGTATTTTGTAAAAGTATCATTTTGTAGACACCTAATGTCATCCAAACATTAAATCACCCAGGGCTGTTATTACAGTATAATAAAGTGTAATGTGTCATTCTACCTTTAGATGGCCCAAATAGTATTTCTTCCTGATGCAGTATCATTCTCACATCTTTATCATCATCACAGTATCAACAGTATCAGTATCATTAAAGAATGATCTTTGGCATTTGCACACTGTTTTTTTCATACACAGCACGTCCAGATGTTTTTATCTACATCATTGCCGGCATCATAGTTGGGAGTGGAGGCGTATTCCTCATCCTTGCCTTTTTGTTTATAAGGTAAGCACATGTACTTTCTTCTACCAAACTGCAAGTCATATGACATTGGTCAACAAGTACTACTTCTCTCCTGCTACTCAGCTGAGAGAGATGAGCCTGATCAGGCTGAAGGAGGCCCTATAGTGCAGCGCTTTGCTATTTGGCCTGTAACTCCTACACCACAAATTATACAGAAAAAAAGTATTATTTCTTTCGGTTCCTTCAATCAAGCCAAACCCATAAGCTCTGCCTACTTATTTTTGCTAATTTGCATAATATCTACCTATGCTAGAAGACATCTGTTTGACAATTATAGCAAATGTAGGCCTTTGGATAAAATAAATTTGTCTTCTACTGACCCCTGTCTTCTGTCTGTGAATAAGGCTCAAACTGCATTAGGCCTTATTAGGTCTCATTGGAACAAACTGCATAAGGCCTTATTAAGCTGATACACGCTTGAACTGTCAGATTGCCACTTGTGGCTATAATTCTATTTGTATTTATTTCCTATTGTTGAAGACACTGTGCCAATAAAATAACATTTCTTGTTAATTGACCAAATAGTAACAATGGTAAACCAACACCAGAAGTTTTAATTAATTAAATTGTTGTTGTTGTGTGGCTTGTCAGGAGAAAGAGAAAAGGTCATTCAGCTGGACAACCCAAGTCAATACAGGCAAGTCAACATTAAATACTCAAGTGAATGCTCAGATTCCACAGCATTATCACTGTTGTACATAGTTTTCCTTGATCTTATAAAGAATGTGTAGGGATTATGATTGACAACAAATTGTTGGAACTTTCAATGTAAAAATGAGAATATTAGTAAACCCGCACATACAGTGCTGTGAAAAAGTGTTACATCACAGTGGGATTCAAGTCAGCACTGGGACTCAGCCACTCCAAAGCCTTAATTTTGTTTCTTCTGAGCCATTCAGAGATGAACTTCCTTGTGTGTTTCAGGTCATTGTTCTGTTGCATAACCCAACTTGAGTTTTAGGTGACAAACTGATGAGCAGACATTCTCCTTCAGGATTCATGTTTCCATTAATTATTACAAGTTGTCCAGGTCCTGCAGAAGCAAAGCAGCCCCAGACCAGCACACTACCACCACCATGTTTGACTGTTGATGTAAGGGGCATTTTTTTGTGAGCTGAATGAGTCATCAATGGCTCTTTCTGAAATTTTAGTAGGCCAGCCACTCTGGGAAGGTTCAGCAATGTTCCATATTTGTGGACAATAACTCTCTATGGTTGCCTGGAGTTCCAGAGCTTCAGCAATAGTTTGTAACCCTTTCCAGACTGGTAGATTTTAAAGACTTTGTTTCGCATCTTTATCTGAATCTCTTTAGAATGTGGCATCATGTGCTGCTTTTTGAGACCTTCTAGCCAACATCACATTGCCGGACAGGTTCTGTTTAAGTGATGTTTAGATTCAACAGGTCTGGCAGTAATCATGCCTGGGTGTGGCTAGTGAAATTGAACACAACAAATCAGTTGAATTTGGCTAATTGCTTAAATTAGTAGCTACAGGGGAAAATGCTTTTTCATGTAGGGCCAGGAAGGACTAAACAGCATTTTCACTTCAATAAATGAAATCATCATTTAAACACCTTTATTTTGTATTAACTTGGGTTATCTACATCTAGTATTAAAATTTGTTTGATGATCTTAAACATCCAAGTCTGACAAATATGCAAAAATAAAAGAAATTGCGAAGGGGGCAAATACTTTTTCACTGCACTGTAGCCTTAATTTTAACAATTTGTGCCTATTTATATTCACTCATGTGCGTTCCTTTGTATTGTTGTGATATTGTGTTGCATCTGCAGTAAATGGATTTTGTTAGCATATATTTGATTATTTTCTTGGATTTATTAAAAAAAGCAATTATTTTGTAGGTGGTTCCACCTTAAATTGATAAGCTGCTCTAGGTTTACACACAATACAAATTCAATACAAAACACTTTTTAATTCTGATAAAGTTTGGTTTATCCCAATTTAAGTATAAATTAGCTTTGATGGGAGCTGTCCAGGGATAGTATGGCATAAAATATTTTGCACATTTTTTTTTTTACTTTTTATTGCTTACAGTTCCATAATTTTGGCACCCATGGTAAGGATGAGTATAAATGGTCATATAATGTGTATTGTTTTGGTTAATTAGTTTAATCTCATTGAAAATATGAGGAAAAAAATAAAATAAATGTAGTCTATGTAAACAAAAAAGTTAACAAAGTTAACAAAGCCAAATGTGTCTCAACCACTGGCAAATATCAGGATGGAGTTTTTCATGGAAATCTATGATGTGACTGGACATGCACCCTTAGTCGTTTACCAGCATTGGGAAGATAAGAGAATACATAAATGTGATGAAACAAAAGCGTGTTGATCTTCATAAATCAAGCAATGACTATCAAAAATCTGCACAGCTAAAAGCAGTATCATCTACTGTTAGGGCCAAAATTGCTATTAAAACAAACAGAGCTGTAGTGAATCTGCCTGGAAATGAGGAGGATGTACATACCAGGTACTATGATTGGATGAGACAAAAACAGAGCTTTCCACAAGAAATTCTCAAGATCTGTTTTGCTTAAAAAAAACACTGAGTGCGTTTACATGCACTCAATAATCAGATTTCTGCAGTTATCTGATTATTCAAATGGTCATGTAAACCATGTCATGTACTCTGATTTAGTCTAGAAATCCAATTAACAAATCCAATAAAGAGAGCTGGTTTAAGCTCAGTAATCAGAATTTTCAGTGCATGTAAACTCTTACTCTGATTTCTTTCAAGTTTCTAAGTCTACACATGTGCAAAAACAGACACCAGTACCAGAAATAAGCAAGCAGTGCTACTGCGAGACGCAGCAAAACACATATTTTCAGGTAAAGTGGTGCGATGTTTAAAAGAAAAAAAAAAGCTGCGGCGTTAAGTTTGAGTTTTACATTACATTTACATCACGTCAACTTCTGTGAGTTTATTGACCAGTTGTGAAGCAGAAATCAGATCACTGTCTGACTCATGTAAACCTGGAGTTTTCCATTATCTGATTAATCAAGTGCATATAAATGCATTGATGAGACTATTGACAAAATCAGATTTTCTGCAGTTATCAGATTATTAATCAGTGCATGTATTATCATTGTTAAACCGAAATGAACCTAATCCCCAATGTCAAGTATTGTTTATTAAGGAGTCTCTCTGAGTCCTTATTTTATATTCTCTAAACTCATCAAGCATTATAGGAGAAGACTCACTGCTCATCGTGGTGGCTCAGGAAGGTTGCACATAGTAGCAGATACAGCAGAGGCACATTTTTGACATTTTTAAAATTTTCTTAGATGTAATTTCAGATTTTGTCTCTTTTTTTTTTAGATTGTTCTAATTAACCTTTGTGGTCTTATTTCAAATGCTTTCACCCTCTGATTCTCAGTTTCTTATTTGCTTCTGCAATGTGTCACTTTCTCACATCTCAGGAAAACCTCTATAGCAACATGGGAACAAGACCTTCAGAAAATAACGCAACACCAGATTTGGCCAATCAGGATGATGGTTTTTATTCAACAGTTGAGCTCTGTGGACGAATCAACCCCACCTATGGGGCCGACGACGAGGTTCAGTATGGTAACGTCCAGCACTGCCATGATAGAATAGTCCAGAAGACTCAGGAGGCTGGTGTTGAGTATGCTTGTGTCAGATTTTCTCGTGCTGATCCAGCCCACAGGTAAGTTAGAACAGCTAAGTGTATTTATTTTGTCCAATAAAGCATGTCTCCAAAATGCTTTCCAGTCAGATCACACTTACTTGCTTGTGGTTTCAGTTCTGCTGCACTCGAGAATCCCTCAGTGATCTACAGCAGTGTGAACTAAACAACATCTGAAGATCTGTTTACCACCCACATTAGGATCCTTCTGGACATGGCTACTGGAAACCCTATGGATCCACAATATCTTTATTTACCTGGTTTAATTTCTTTTTTTTTTTCAATTTGTTTTATTATGTTTTGGCCATTTTAGATTCCATTGTGTCTCTCCTCAAAATCAGTGATGGGACATTTATTAGACATAAATTTCAACATTTTGGCAAAAAAATCAACAAAGTGGAACTAAAAGCATTCAAATAAGAATTAATTTAAAGTGTCAAAGGATTCATCAGAGATGAACCTACGCATGCCCTCTACAGGACACCAAGCATAACTGCAGCTTGATTCACTATTTTGTTGTTGACATACACTATAGTACCAAAAATATTCGCTCGTCTGCCTTCACACGCATATGAACTTGAGTGAGATCCCATTCTTAATCCATAGGGTTTAATATGATGTCTGTTTCACTACTGTTTGTAGAAGCAGTCTGCAGGCCTAGGTGCTTGGTTTTATACACCTGTGGCCATGGAAGTGATTGAAACACCTGAATTCAATTATTTGGATGGGTGACTGAATACTTTTGGCAATATAGTGTCTTTCCATAGTTATATTGTAATATAACTGTAAGCAACAAAAATGTTTTAATATTAGACCTTTTTGAGTTCGTTTTGAGCAGAAGCTTATTTTGTGGATGTATGGACTCTGATTTCACCTTGTGCAGCTACACAAGCTTCAAAGAGTAGAGTTAGTAAGGTTTGAGAACATGTGTCTATATCTATCTCTTTTAGGAAATTAATAGCATTGAGAGGTCTAGATGTAACGATGTGTACAGTGGCAGACATATTTAGACTGTGTTGTAAATGTTTAAAATGTGCCTGCTACTGATAAAATTAGGAATGGGTCATACTGGCTGGCTGGAGTAGTATTACAGTGAGGAAAGTAGCTATAAAACTTTATGGTCCCACTTTATATTAAGGGCCTCTAATAATTGTGTAGTTACATGTAAACAACATATGCAACAACTATGTAACTACTAATGATTTAGTCAGTGTTACGGATGGATTACAGAAGTACACCTGGTGACACTTTCTATGAATGTTGCATTTGTAAGCATCTATAAACACATTTATAACATGCTATAATGTATTCATAAGGCATTATAAACATGGTTATAAATATTTATTTAAAAAAATACACTGAATTACATTTTATAGCCATCTTTATTATACATTATGAATTGTTAATATAATGCATTATAAATAGTGTTAATAACATGTTATAATGTCAGTGCCAAAGAAGTCAGTCCCAGCTTAGAGAGCGTAAAGCAAAGACAAATACCAAGCTAACGGTGGTGTACATTGACTTTCCCACATTGGGTAAAACTCTGATGGCAGCACTAATTTAAACTCTTGACATTTGAGGCATGTAATGTGCTTTATTGTGTATGTTTTAGTGTTTCAGTAAATCCTTCAGTAAATACTTCAACTTGAAGCCTCACTCTTAACACTGGAGGAGGCTTTAGTACAGTACGCTTCACTTTACTTAGAGCAGACAAATACAACTTATGAGCTCTTATAATTTATGATCAGTACTTATAATGTATTATGTTAACAATTCATAATGCATAATAAACATGGCTATAACATATAATGCATTTTTATAAATATTTATAGCTATGTTTATAATGTCTTATGAATGCATTATAACATGTTATGAATATGTTCATAAATGCTTACAAAGGTGACATTCATAGAAAGTGTTACCACTTTACTTAGAGCAGACAAATACGACTTATGAGCTCATACTTTATTAATAGTACTTATAATGTATTATGTTAACAATTCATAATGCATAATAAACATGGCTATAACGTATAATGCGTTTTTATAAATATTTATAGCTATGTTTATAATAGATGCTTACAAAGGTGACATTCACAGAAAGTGTTACCATGCACCTTATGTAATTATACATATGTATCAACTTCAGTTTTGCCTCATGTAGTTACACAACTGTATCTTTAAAGCTGTAACAGCCTATTCCCTCTCATGTAATTACACAAGGTTAATAACATAAATGTAATTACACTTGTAACCAGATTGGAATGGCAGTTGTTTTCAGAAGTCTTTTCCAGCAGTAAAAGGAAGTATGTACTAATTTACATTAACACATTACTTACACTGCATCTGCCAGCTTTCCTAACATTTAGCTAGCATTTATGTTGCTAGTGCTGTGACACTGTAACCAGTTTCAGCTTTAAACCATTCTGTGATGTGACAGAACAGCAGACGTCCCCTTATCTTAACATGTAGCTTAGTGACATTAATTAAATGTGTTGCATTAAACCCAAAGAAATGTCTACATTACCATCCCATTATTACACAGTACCTACATAACAACTACACAGGAACTGTCCACACATTTTAAAGTGTAACTTTAACACTACACTACAGGTAAGTCCCTGTGTAGTTGTTAAATAGGTACAGTGTCATTACAGAATGGTATTCATGATTGTGTTTAGATCTCTTTGTTATTTATTTCACAGTATTTATAGTAAGTATACTTTCTTTAACTGCTGGAAAAGACTTCTGATCTATAGTGTATCAAAAATATACACTTGTGTAATTACATGAGGCAAAACTGAAACTGATACACGTGTGTAATCACATAGGCTATACTGCTGTAATCCATCTGTAACATTGACTAAACCATCAGTAGTTACAGTGTTGTTGCATATGTTATTCATATGTAACTACACAGTTATTAGGGACTCTTAATATAAAGTGGGACCAACTTTATTTAATGAGTGTTTTTGTATGCTATGACAAGCCAGATGTCCGCTGATGTAAAAATTAAGGGCTTTAATGTTGATTCAGGATCAAACATCCAAAGTCAGGCCAAGTCAATACCATGGAAAAACGAGAGCAAATGCAATGACAAGGCAAAAATCAATGTTGTAATACTAGCAAAAGTCAAAAAAAGAAAAACAGCAAAGCAGGCTAACAAGACAAAAGGGTAAGGCAAAAAATGTAAACATGACATCACAAAAATGGGTCAAAGCACAATATATGCACAGGGGTATTTATACAAAGGTAGACAAAGCAACATAGGTGGATGGAATCAATAGTCAGGTGAGTTGCCTCTTTGAAACTGTCTCTGATTGGATGATCTCAGGCATGTGTCTGTGGGATCATGGGAAATGGAGTCTTGAAAGTCTGCAAGAACAGAGCATGAATTCAGAAGTGTGACAGTTTTCTTCAAGTTTGCTGGCTTTTTAAAACTGAATGTAATGCTGTTTTGAAGATTCTTTGCTTGTTGTATTTTATTTACTTTTCAATAAAATAACAGGTTTTTGTCTGTAGACCTGAAGAAACTTAAAGCATAACCAGAATTGAGTAATTTCAAGAATGAATAAGCACATTACTCAAAATATGTAATAACCACGCTTATGAACTTTTTTCTTAATAAACTATTGACTAAGCTGTACTGTCTCTTCAGCGTTTAGCCTCATTTAACGCTCTGAGTAACACTTGCCAGTTACCTGATGAGCTGAATCAGGTGTGTTTAATCAGGCATTGAGATGAAGTCTGCAGTGTTTTGGCCCACGGGGACTGCAGCCTGACACATGTGTCTTAAAAGAAGAACAGCCATCCTGCATCCTCCTCTATTTTCCCTGTTTCATACAGGTTGACATTCACAGGATCCTCAACTCTGAGGGACCTGTAACAAAAGCAAGTCTTACAGTTTTGGAGAGTGGTTGGAAAAACAGAATCTTCTCAGCTTCATCTCTTTTACCAGCAGGTATATCAAACCAGAATTCAGACCAGTTTTCACCGCTACAAGAACTATCCTTTAATATTGAAAGAGTCAACTCAGACCCAGAGGGGTTAAAATGAATAAAAGCTACCACTTCCTTAGAAGGTCTGGTTGCAAGATGTAATGGTCATCAAGGGAATGTTTACACACAAGATTGCACTGAAGAAACTACTCCCATCTTATTTTCATCCTCATCATTAAGAAGCTTTTGAGTTCAGAAATTACAAAGCCATCATTAATGTTTTACACAATTATGAAGGGTCTACAACATACACTCAATTAAACTTTTAGACTTTTTTAGTTCAACATAAACTTATTTTCATTATTAGATGGAAAATTGATTACTGTTCATACTGTTCGTGAAATACCTCTGGTTTGTTTTGGGTGTGAATCGATCTGATTGGCCTGTTTGGTTGCGCAGACTGTCATATATGAAATCTGATTGGATGGCGGTGGTGTGCAGCATCTGGTAGCCTGGATTTGTTTGGATGATGCTGGGCTCCATGTTCTCATAGATGGGGCCGATTCCACCCGAGTTTTGGTGTCTAGGTGAGTCCTCTTCATGGACTGTGTTAACCTAAAAACATAAGGGACAAATCAGTTATACACTGTTTTTGCCATCAGTTGTGAAAGACTTGAATTCCAGTTTTCAGTTCAACTCACCTGACTTCTAGTTGACTTGTGAGAATCGGAGGAGAAACAAGCTGGACAGAAGAAGAAAGAGCACATTTACAACTAGCAGTTTGTGTGTGTGTGTGTGTGTGTGTGTGTGTGTGTGTGTGTGAACTGTATCATTACCTCTTACTGTACAGCAGGACTTCCCCCATTTATAGTAAAGTGCCAGAGACAGAACTACGGTCAGCAGTAAAGCAGACACGCACACAGGAATGATGTTCAGCCGACCTGTGAAGTGATTGATTAATATAAGTAAATTAATAAATGCTACATCCAGTTTAATGCTACATATAAACTTAATATCTTTTAAAAACTATATATACATACACACATATTATTAGATGGGAAGTTTGTTCATAATGTTATGCCTGATTGGTGTGTGTGTGTGTGTGTATATATATATATATATATATATATATATATATATATATATATGTATATATAAAAGCCTTATATCTCCATTTTTTGTCGTTTTTCAGTTTTTGACAATTTGAAAATGCCTGTTGCTCTTCACATTGTGTGTCAATTTCATGATGAATGGACCAAAAGAAACAGCCCAAAATGGCTTAGAAAAAAGTCTGGCTCCATTGGTAAAGTAGGTGTTTTCTTGCAGTAACACTTTACTTGGAGTGGTCTTTTGTAGATGATTAATAAACTCTTAACAGAGTATCAGTAACACTTCAACAACATATCAGGGAATTAGCAGTAATGATGCATCTGAATACACCGAGTTAAAGGTTTTGAAGATATTCAGTTAAATCATTACTTACATTAAGTAGATGTATTGTTATTATGTTACTTCCATTAAGCAAAACCTAATCCTAACTCTCACCCTGACCCTAATCCTAATCCTAACCCTAACCTCAAAATTCAGCAGATTATAAACTAGTTTTATTTACACAGTTAATTAAAAGTCTGTTAATCTATTGAATGTGTTCACTGCTGCTACATCATTGAGGTGTTGCTGATGTTACTGAGAGTCTGCTGAGTGTTCATTTAATCGAAAAAGGACCACTCAGGATAAAGTGTCACCTTTCTTTTGTCTGTGAAATGCAAACCCTATTTCCCGAGAGGTTGGCACATTGAACCATATGTATAGAATTTGTATACCTCGTATCTCCAAAATGATGTATATATTGTTTTAATTATTATACATATGGTTCAAGTCTGGCTCATTGAACCATATGTATAATAATGTAGAATTTGATGCCTGTAACACACTCACAAAAATGACACAGGCATGTTTAGCACTATTTTACACCACCTTTCCTGTCGTTACACTTTTTAATCATGTGGAAACTGAGGACACCAATTGTTACTACATGTCGTTTTACTGGCAAAAAGCACATCATTCAAAATCATTTATATATGGTACTGTATACTGTGAGTGTGTTTGTGGTAAACAGGTAGTCTGGTCAGAAAAAGGAACCGAGAGGAAAGTGATTTAGAGAACGGGTCATTTCGTTTTTGCTCTGCTGGTGACACACCTGCTAAAAATAGCACATCTGAGTGTGGGTGTAGGGTGTGTGTGTGTCACCTTTTGTAGAAATCTTGTTTGTCTTCTCAGCTGAAGAAGTGTTTGGGCAAAAGATTGTTTCCAGTGATGATTTAGGTGGTGTAGTGACCATAGGAGCTGTAGTGACCTTAGGAGCTGGATAGATAGATAGATAGATAGATAGATAGATAGATAGATAGATAGATAGATAGATAGATACTGTTACTGTTGATTTTCTTTAGGCAGCGATGCTATTTTATATATTAGTGCATTAAGCTATATAATTAAGTCTTACCGTCCAGCACTGTAAGAAAGACCTCTTGAAACGTGTCCAGTCCAGACCTCTCCACCCCGCACCAGTACCTTCCAGAGTCTGACTTCCACAGGCCTGTGATGGTGATGGTCACACGTCCTCCTCCTCTGTCATACAGTGAATATCGTCCTTTCTGGGCTATTTTCCCCACTCCGTTAGATCTGATGAGCACCTCTTTATCTGTGCAGTCCCATCTGCAAAAGTACTTGATGTTTGTACTGGCCCATGAGTGATAGCAGGAGAAGCTAAGATGGTCATCTACTCTGCCTTTCAGCTTAAGAACAGCCAAAACGTCTTTAGTGACAGCTGAGGAGAAGGAAATAGAATAACTTAAATATTGGTTTACCTAATCATTTCCTGAAATTAATCAGTTTTTCCAAAAAAAAACCATATTATTTTATGCTTATTTAATAGTTGTTATTGAAAATGCATAACAGTTACTTAATATTTGATAGTAGATACTGAATAAATGTCACTGAATAAGTTATAGTAATTAGTTAGTAGTTTATAATAGTTACTGAATAGTTTATAAGAGATCCTGACAAGTCCTGAGAAAAATACCTGAACAAAAAATAATACTTAGGACTGAATGTTATAAAGTAAAACGGACGTTCAGTTGTTTAGAAGACCAGGCAGACATCAGAACTCACCATAGAGGAGTCCACAGAGGACATGGAGCTTCATTCTGACCAGCACCAGCAGCTCTAACTGCAGTGGCTACAGCGTGTGGTGTGCAGGTTTATGTGTCGTATGGGCCAACATACCGACTGACGTCTGCCTCTGAATCACAAGGTCAGCAGTTTCATTATAAATGCTCAGTTCAGTTCTCCAGTCAAAATAGAGCGTCTGGGTGCCTAAAGTGAGTAATACTGAGAAATGTATGGGAGAAATTTCACCTGGGCTGGGAAACAAAAAACAGCTGATCATCACTTTTGGTATAACACGTTAGCTCTAAATGACAAGTCTGGTATCAGTTTACATCAAGATCATGCTAACTGTAGTACATTAAATCAAGCTGTGATAAAGCTCTTAGCTTTGATGTCTTCTGTACACTCTGTAAATCTGGATAACTGCATCTGTTAAATGAGGAAAAGTGAGCATAATGTAAATGTAAAGCATTTGTGAAAAAAAGGAAGTCATAGATGAATTTTGGAATTTTGGGAACATAGTGTGGCTGTTTGTTTTTTTTTGTTTGTTTGTTTTGTTTTTGTTTTTTTTAATGAGTAATGGATTAAGTTATAGACGAAGAATAAGATGAAAAATAAAATAAAAAAAATCCTGGGTCTATGTTCCATTATTGTTCTGTTTGAATAACAACAAAAGAGAGTTTTTTTTTATTTTTATTTTTATTTTTTTAAATCCTTATTTATTTATTTATTTATTTATTTTTTATCTGTTTTTTTTTCCCTCTTAGCCTTTAGTACAGAAGCCCTGAGTGGTAAGATCAAAAAAGTGTGTTCCACTTTATTTTTTTTCTGCCTGTAAACTGTAACAAATTAAGATGCCCAAATTTAAAATTATTTAGGAACTGATTGTATCTTTTTCGAGTTCTTCAACGTTTTTATTGTGAATGGAGAACTGGCCAACCTGGTACACAACTTCTTTAAAAATTAAGTTAGTTTCACATTCCCCCCAACTCAAAAATTTAAATTGGCTCAACTTCAACCTGTTGGTCTAAAATCTTCTTGATTAAATTTTTATACTTTTACGTCTAAAAAAGTCCTAAAACTAAAAAAAAAGGTTATTCCTTTAGTTACTTTAGTAATTTCAAGTTGATTTGAGTTTCAATTTTCCACTATGTCTTTTAATGACACTGGGCCACGACAGGCCTGATTCCAGTAAACTAAAGTATTTTAATGGTGATTTTTAGTCAAATAAAAACATCCATTATTTATTATGTTATAATTCAATCTATTGATAACACATCATAAATATATTAAATCAGTTTGTCATTTCTTTCTTTAGGTGGTAATGATTCAAAGCACTTCAACATTACTGACCAGTTTTTCTGTTTCATTTCATTCTATAAAAACACATTGAACCATGTTTGAAGTGTACTTCCCTGTGTTATATGCCTCAGTGACAACTGAATGAATGAATGAACATAATGGCTAGACGATAATATTAGGACATCCAGCTTCATGAAAAATTATCCCTGTGGTAATACTAATATTATTCAAAAAATAATATACTATAATGTACTAATCCTGTCTTTGTGAAGCAGTTATTTACATGTTTATGCTTATAGGAACAGTTAACAGCCTTTGATTCTGATAAAATTGAACTTGCATAATTCTAGATGGTTTTGAATCCAATTTAGCAATGTAGGTCACTTTTACTATCTGTATCACATAGCCAGTATGTCGACACTGCCTTGTAGAAAGCCGTCAGGTCAGGTTCTGATAATACATTGGGAAAACGTTGAGAGCAATAAGTAGACAATGGTATGGGTATCAAAATTGAATGTAGCGGGAACATTATTGGAACCATCCTACAATGTTACTGCAAGCTTCTCTAAAGGTTACAGGAATGGTGTGCCTCTGAACCATAATGCACAACCAAAAGGGAACGTTAGATTTCTTTTCTGTAAAACCAATGGGGAACCAAAAACGATCCGTTTCCAGATTTGAGGAACCAAAATTGTTAGTTGGGCAGTCAGCTCCCCAGGATTTCTCTCACATAGTTCGCAAAAAGTAATGGGAAACACTGAATAAACAGATGATGTGACATGCTAAGTGTTAGCCTACATACTTTTTTTTACACACAGCAGTTTTTTGTTGAGGTTTTTGATAGGTGAAATTGTACAAGGCAGATTTTTAGTGAGTTATACAAGCAGAGAAATGAAATAAAGTGGATTTTAGACTCAAGAATGCACTTTAATTTTTTTTCCATCTTACCCTTTAGGGCCTCTGTGTTGTTGTCCTGAATAATAGTCTACGTTTTCAAAATTTCAATTATTTTTGGATCATTTCTATTAGCCCATTCAGCTGTTATATTACAAAATGAAGATAACATGTTTTGTCCTGATGGTGATAATGTGCTTTTTTCTCCTCTTTTAACATTTTTCATTTAAAGAGGAATGAATGAGCTAAATGGCTAGAAATTATTTATTGATAACCACATACACAAAAAACACAGTTGTTTTAGATCAGTAAAGTGAAGTAAAAAAGTCATGAAGTAATAATTATTTTCTTGTAATCAAAAATACACTTTTGCAGTTTCGTTAGGGTTTTCTGGATTCATTGCAACATAGAGGGCAGTCATGGGCTGAAGGTTAGGGAACCAGCCTTGTGACTGGAAGGTTGCTTGTTCGAACCCCTCAGCTAATTGTACGTCACTGAAGTACCTAACCCCCAATTACTCCCCGGGTGCTGCGGATAGGGGTGCCCACTGCTCTGGGCAAGTGTGCTCACTGCCCCCTAGTGTGTGTGTTCACTAGTGTGCATGTATGTGGGTGTTTCACTGCACGGATGGGTTAAATGCAGAGGTCTAATACCTCTGTGGCTAATGGGTCTGAATTCCTAAAAAAAAAAAGAATTCTAAAGACAGCAACATTGCAAAAGTATGAAATATTCAAATGGACTTTTAACTAATCACTGAATGCTTTACTGTGTGTTGTGAGCATCCTGACTATTTGCAGTTGTTCTTTGGGTTGGTTTTGAAATCAAGGTGTTGACATGATCTAACATATACAGAATCACTTTGGTCAGAATAATTCCAGAGTTCATATAGGAAACTCTGTCCACTTGTGAGTTATCTTGGCCATGCCTGTAGGCAGTAATTTACAGTCATACAAAAAGTTTCTTATCTCTTACAATTGGTTGAGACCTATAAAGATTTTTCAACTGCCTCTATTCTCTGCTTTACAGTGACCTGGCTTTCTGAGCTGACCCCAGACAGCACACTGCACCTACCCAGCTTCCAGCTGCACAAAGCTGAAGAAATTCAACCTGATATTCCAGTTCTACATAGCCCAGCAATGATCAAGTTCATCCTCACGTCGTCCGCAACCAGGTTTGGCTCCTCCACCTCACTCTAACGGGTCAACTTACATAATCAGGACAGTGGAGAGGATCATTGGATGTAGGCTAAAAAACACATCAGGGCATTGACAACAGTCAGTGGGAGGTCTTGGAACAAATGTGCAGCTATTAGAACCAATCACAAACAGGGGAAGGTCTCAGAGGCATTGTGACAAGAAGTTCTGGTGGTTCTTAAAACACTTAGGGTAATTCTTGTCCACTTGGAGCTTCATATGTTCTAATTCTTGGTCAAAACTGGCTGCATCAGAGATCCACCATATTGTCACATCATTGGTCTTCTCTGTGACTGAGTTAAAGTATAGAACCTAGCTCTAGCATTAAAACCAGGAAATGTTCATCCACTTTTAGAGGAATGACATGAAGAAAACAGTCTGACTCAATATAACCTGCAGTGAAATCAAAATATAAGCCATAAAACCACCCAGAGACAAGAGACATTAACATCAAAGAAAGAAAAATGGTTCACTTCTCTGATCATTGTTATTTATCTGTACCTCAGTTTTAAAATGAGCGAATAGCTAAGTAGAAGAAACATAATCTTAATTCTTATTTATTTAATTAAGATTAAATGACCCTTATTAGTCCACAACAGGGAAATTTCACCTCTGCATTTAACCCATCCATGCAGTGAAAAACCACATACACACACACACTAGGGGGCAGTGAGCACACTTGCCCAGAGCAGTGGGCAGCCCTATCCACAGCACCCAGGGAGCATTTGGGGGTTAGGTGCCTTGCTCAAGGGCATTTCAATCATGTACTGTCAGCTCAGGGGATCAAACCAGCAACCTTCCAGTCAGAGGGCTGGTTCCCAAACCTCCAGCCCATGAATGCCCCCAAAGGTTGGTGGAGGAGAGATAATAGGCTGGGGCTGTTTTTCAGGGTTTGGTCTCAGCCCCTCAGACAATCAAGAGAACTGATCTGTTCTTGGTGTATATCTTGCACCTTACAAGCATGTTAGGTAGTGGTAGGAGCCTTTGTCTAAAAATAGAGACAGCAGTCAATAGAGAGAGAAGAGAATGAAGGAAGAGTGAAGAAAGATGTTTAAGTTGGAGTCCTGACTGAAGTAACTGAGAGTAAAACATGTAGATGTATGTGATCAAGAGTGGTCGCCTGAAGAAAAAGGGATGTGGAAGACAAATGGAGATGTGCACGTTTATATGATGCCGAAAGTCAACTGTGACTGAAACATTGCTAATAGCATGTAACACCTTCACAAGCACAAATAACAGCTGTGATTCAATTTGTCATGGACTGGACATGTTTCTGGATGTCGGCGACATCAATGTTCAGCCACTCACGCGTCAAAGAATTGCGCAGTTCAGGCAAATTTTGTGGATGCTGTCCCTGGCGTCTTACTCGTTGTTCAAGGTCATCCCACAGATTTTCAAGAGGATTTGAATCTGGGGATTTTGTGGGCCAGTCCAGATGTGCGAACCCTCCTGAATGTTCATTATGTCAATCAGTCACATTTGTAGCCCTGTGAACGTGAGAATTGTCATGTTGGAATACAGGGATGGGAATGTTCCTCAGTAAGATGATCAGTAAAAGGGAAAACCTGGTTGTCCAGCAGGTCAATGTGGGCACTGTGGTTCAAATTTACTGCCAACTTAACCAAAGGACCCATTTCCACATAATTAAAATCAGTTTTGTCTTTCAGCTTCATTCTGATGAGAATTTCCTGTAGATTGGAATTTTCGCCACTGCTGATCGACCCTTATGATCGTACACTTCAAAACACCTGCACATTTTTCATGCACTGAAAATGTAGGATTAATAAGGATTATACATGAGGCATAATCTGATACCTACCACCTTGCATGAGACAGAAGTCAAAATGTAGAAGGCAGGGGAAGAAGTACTTATTAAAAAAATATTTTGAGATCATTATTGTGACAACTCTATGATGTTTCACCTCACTACCAGTCATTCACTGACACTGTTTGTATCCAAAGAACACCTTTATTCTGAGAATGATGTATAGAAAATGAAAATGATAACTTTGATATGTGGCTGTAGTTCTAGCCAGAAGTGGAAAGTGTCAAATTACATTTACATTTACTACATTTACTCATTACGGTACTTTTTTAATGAAATCATAATTCATTTTTTAATTTTAATTTTTTTTATAATAAAACGTGATTTGTTTTCTGTGAGTGATGTCTTTGTATTATGGTCACTTAAATCATTATGCATCTAGCTTTTTCTCAGCCCTACAATCACTGTTTAGCAGCTGTTGCTATTTGCCATTGCCACAAGCCTTCAGTTCATTATCAGCACATCAGATAAAAGATCACGTTTCAAAGTGAGATTCTTACCTGTAGAGTGTGTCAATTTCTTTTCATTGAAAACAAAAACAAATTTGCAAAAATGCCATCATTGTCAGTTTTCTTGCAATGCTTTTTCACTGCAAAAGCTGACATGGCCTGCAAGAAAAAGTCTATCATTAGTTCAGTGCATTGAGTCATTATGTATAAGACATAAATGGACCATAAACATTTTTCAGGCCCGCCATGGCCGTGTGCTTTGGCCTAGAATGATTTGGCTGAGGTTCCTCTTGTTTGCATCTCAGTCCAGTCTTATTCTTTGGGTCCACTGGCTGTGCCAGTATGTTTCAGCCTTGGATAATTAACGCTGAGTTTGTGTGCCCCCCCCCTCCATCTTTGAACATTCCAGAAGTCTGATTTTACTCTGATGTCCCAGATGCTTTGATCAAAAATGCCTGTGATGAGCTGATGTATGCGGTATACTGAAGTGGGCTGCAGTGTTGAACCCTACATTTTGGTTGATTGCTATTATTTTGATTCATCATACAGGAAAAGCGTTATAGGATGAGCTGGGTACAGCTGTCAGGAATAGGCTATAGCATGACTTAATGACACTGTGAGTCATTAGCACATTTGGAAATTGCATTTACCAAGTTGACCCCCCAACCTTTTATGAAATCTACCCTAAAAATGTCTTTCTGTCTACACCACTGAAGCTGCACGTACACACTGCCTACAGCCATTTCAACACTTCTGCCTTATAGCAAAATAAATGATAACAATCAACCTCAAAACAGAACTCTTTAGTAAAGAAAATGGGTCTATATAGACCCATTAACACTCAAAGAACCCTTTGTATGATTAAAGGCTTCTTTGCATCATAAAGGTGTTCTTCAGATTGATGCACAATGTGCTTTAGATGGTTCTATGTAAAATCTTTTTGAAAAAGTTTCTATATAGCACCCAAAAAGGTTCTTCTATTGTTACAATGGCAAGCTCGTAACCATCATGCAAATGCAACTTCACATAACTATGTGTTCGTGGTTCTATGTAGACCCATTTTCTTTACTAAAGAACCCTCAAAGAACCATCTTTTTTTAAGTGTACATTGATGGAAAAGCAAAAGTAGTCAGTTTGTTTTAGGGATGCAAAAAGTATAGAGAACAGAAACTGTTAGTACTGCATTGATCGTTATCATTTTGTTTTGCCACAGGGCGGAAGTGTTGAAATGGCTGTAGCCGGATGTTGTTTTGCTGTGAAATACAGCGCATTTGAAAGAAATTCTGCGAATTTCCTTACAAGGAGAATCTTTTCTGTATCATGAAGCTGTTCTGTAAGCACACTTTTTTTATTAATATGAGCATCTTATGCTTTTCTTTCTCATCTGGCTCGTTTTAACACCCCAGCTTTGCTGTGTTCTGTTTTTTGCTTGATCGTGGTTTCCTGTTTTTTTTTTTTTTGGCACCTCAGCTCAGTGTTCCTGCAAACTCTGTATTTTTTGTTGCACTGGCTAAACTGACAGTCATATATGCTCTTAAACGCCATACTTAAAAGGCCCTCTTGACCCCAGAATAATTGAAGTGTGTTCCTGAACAGTGAGACACCTGTGTCGTCTAGCACTCCCGGAGCTCCGTGGAGAACAACCAGATAGAATGAGGTGGTGATGGGATCAGAGAAGGGGACAAGAGGAAAACATTCCTAACAGCATTTTTGTGGTCAAAGTTGTCCATTTTTTCACAGGCCTAGTTAATGTATTCTTTCTGTCCATGATGCCTCAGTGTAGCCAGTTTGTTTCAGAAGAGCCAAAAGTACAGAGAAACTGTACTTAAGGTGTGCAACAATTTATTGTAGCTTAATTAAATAATGCTACATGACAGTTACATAAGCCTTCCGTGACAAGTGACATAAACCTGGCTTATTGCAATAACCAACAGTTTCATCTTCTGGTTGAGATAACACTTCTGTGAACACAGGGTTTTATTGACATGAGGTTTAGATTCTGTTAGATGGAAACTGATTTGCTCTGGTTGATGCAATCTGATTGGCTATTATGATATACTGATGCTGCTGCTGCTGCATAAACTCAAACTATCAAATTAACCATTGCTCCTCCTGTTTTCCCCCATTTTGTATTCTAATACTTTATACTAACGCTGTTTGCTATCCAGAGTTGACCAGAGGAGGATGGTTCCCCTTTTGAGACTTGGTTCCTCTCAAGGTTTCTTCCTCTTGCTCAGGGAGTTTTTCCTTGCCACTGTTGCAATTGGAGATGCTCATGGGGCTCGGACCTGGATTTTTCTGTAAAGCTGTGATGTTCCAGATAATCCTAATCCTAACCCTGACCTTAATAAGCGGCAAATTGTCCCGTCCGCGAGGCTAAAGTTTTTCCGGTCTACCAGTGGTTGCCAAAAAACTTTGAAAAGTTTTTATGGTGTCCCAGTGGCCGGAGAAAACTAAAAATAAAATTAAAAAAAAATCAACAAAGTTTTTCTGGTCTCCCAGTGGCCGTGGTTTTTTTTTTCTTTTTTTTTTTCTGGTCTTCCAGTGGCCCGGTTCTCTGTAGTGGCGGTATTAAGGGGTTTAATGCGGGGGGGGTGCTTAAGTGTGGGCCATAAGGGTTCGGATGGTGCGCTGGGTTCCTGGAGGCCCTTAGCCCCGGATGGGAATCCAAAAAAGGACGGGGAAGGGAGTTAAGGGAGGTCAGTAGGGGAAAAAAGGGGCCTTGGAGGTATATGTGTTTTGTGGGCATATGGAAGGGTAAAATTCGTAAAATTCACCCAGGTGGCCGTTTCAGACCAAAGCAGTGTTTAAAAAAAAACGGGCCGAAAAATTCGTCCAAGTCCATAGGTCTCCCAGTTGCCGGCTGTTTTCAGCGTTAAAGTTTTTACGGTCTCCCAGGGTTTTTCGTTTTGGGGTGCAAAGTTTTCACGGCCCCCCAGGGTTTTTCGTTTTGGGGGACACAGTTTTCATGGTCTCCCAGTGACAGGGTGAAATTTTCGAGGCGATGTCCATAAAATTCGCCTAGGTGGCGCAACCAGGGTCTTCGTCCTACTTGCGTATCCACCCGAGGTGCACCGTTTCCGGTCAGATTCAAATCCGACCGCGGTCTGGAGGGTCTCATGCGCATGGAAAATCCAGAGGGGTGCCAT